TTCAAAGCATTGTTCCCGTGAAAGTACCTGTTCACAGACTTTTCTAGATTATTTCCACATCCGAGTTTCAAACCAGGAACCAGGGTCTCACTGCTGAAGAACACAAACAGAAAGAACCATGACCATCACACTGATTCCTCGGCTTACAAAGCTTTCTGTTCAGAAGTGTGATCTTCCTTCTTTCTCATTAGCCTCATTCTTAACAGTGTGGCAACCTAATTTTATCAATTTGAATCAATTTTTCAAGTAAAAAAATAATAAATTCCCACTGATTATTACTCATTTCACAGACACTTTTTTCCTCTTCTTATCCCCATGTTATCAGTCCAGCTGTTAAACTTTACCCTGAACTTCATTTGTCGCATACGGGGGAGATTCTGCATAGGATATTTATATTAGCCACTACTTCCTGCACGTCTTCGTCTCACCAGAGTGTCCTTTGAAGCAACTGTGCTGTTTCACGCAGTTCCCATGGAATTGCAAACACATAAAAATGAATCTTCAAAGGGTCTTTCCTAGATAAGTATCCAGAGCTACATATATCAAATGACTTGTCTGAAATTCTGTAACATTATTCTGTATATTCTGTATATATTCTATAAATTCTGTAACAGAGTAGTTTACTGTGATTCCATATACCCAGAGGGCACATAACCAAACAGTGTTGATGATGCGGGGGAAGAATTGTGAGCCTTTTGAATATATAAATTTATGTCTGTCAATTTAATGGAACACTTATATTTATAGATTGAGAAACCAGGTTGAATATTTTGTGGTCCATATAGTACCTTGGATGGCAAGGATGGGGTATTAGATAAGGAAGCAGGAGGCTTAGTTTGGATAAACACAGATTAACTGAAATATCACATATGAATTAGATCTACTGTAATTAGAAACTACTCTTTTCTCTAATCATATTGAAGATGTTTCTAGATATATCCTGCAGATAAAAATACGAGTAAGACAAGAATTTATAGTGTCCGTCATTGTAATTCAGAGTGATTGAAATGTACATAAATTGTTGATCTTGATTGAGTAGGAGATGTGGTGTAGGTACTTTCTGTGTCCTGTGTCGTTTTTCTGTACGCTATTACTAAGAAATAACTGTAACCCAGTTCACAGTGGAGTAACTGGCTTGGAAAATTCAGATTTGATTTGTTTGAATATTAACTGGAAGGCGGAACTTAAGACAGTAAACATAATTTATAATTGAATTCAGGTCTGACTCCCATGACCTTTCTCTTGACCACCACTTTTACTGTGCCAATTTGTATGGCCTAGGATGAGCAAAAACAGACCTAATTTATGTAATACTTACAAAAGAAATAGTACAAGTAACCTAAGGGTGAAAGTCTTAAGATTTTGCATCTTTTCAATGGCTTTAATGTTTTGAGAAGTACTGGTCAGGTTCTTTGAAGATGTCCCTCATCTTGGATGGGTCTAATGTTTTTCTCAAGATAAACCTGGGGTTACAGGTTTAGGGAACAAAAACCACGAAGATGAAGTATCATTTTCATTCCATCCTATCATTTTCATCACATCCTATCAGTGGTGTCTACTGTCCACATGACTTTGTGCTGCTGATGTTGCCTTGGCAACTGGGCTAAGGTCATAGTTGTTGGGTTTCCCTGCTTAAAGTTGATTTTTTCCCACTTAAAGTTGATTTATGTAGGGTAGAATACCTACATAAATTATTGCACGATTTTCTTCTTCTCTGCAGTTTGTTATTTCAATCATTTGTTTATATTAGTGTGGACTTATGGATATTTATGTTTTATACATTGGGTTAGAATCCAATACTGCTTTATTCATTTTACTCACGTTGTCTTAGCTTTGGCCTATGGGTGTTCTTTCAGTTGGCTTCTCTATTCTTCTCATATACCCTCATAATTTTTTTATTGGTTATAGTATGTATGTACGTATATACCTTTATTTATTTTTTGAGTACGTCCTTGCCTTCTGTCCTACAAGTTGCTCCAGCATCATCTTGCATGCTTCCTGCTCTAGTCCTGGAATCGGCCATTTCTCCAAGGAGCCCTGGTTCCTTTTATTAGAGAATGGTGTGAGAGACCAAGATCTGGGTGCTGGTTCTGTTTCTTGCTGCTGGTAGGTCCTTGCTTCCAGGCCCTGTCGGCTGACAGAGCGAGGAAACATATGTATTCTACTAGCCTGTGTATGTATACACATCTGTGTATGTTTCTATGTGTGACTGCTTGTACCCATAGTAAATGAATCAAGAGTTGATACTGATGTCTCCGATTCCAGTCCATAACCATAGAGTTCATTCTAGCCTCTTCCGCTTGCTCACCTGTAACCTTCACTCCCGCACAAGAAGTGTAGCTTCCATTATCCATCGTCCATTTAATTGCTTGAGTCCAGTGTACGTATAGAGTATATCAGAATCATTATGTGTACCTGCATCCCTTCTCATGGGAAATAAGCCTATCACCTAGAGCAGTGCTTACGTGCATTTTCTTTTGCCTTTAGTCTTACAAGCTTCACTCATTTCTAAATTTATTCTACTTCTCAACTTCATAAAGGTGTTTTGTATGTTTTTAATGTAGTTAAAATATTTTGTCACATTTAGCATTCCATCTTAGAAGCCCTCAATTTCCTAAATTATATATATATATACGTGTGTATATATATATATGTGTGTGTGTGTATATATATGTACATATATATATACACACACACATATATATATATATAGTTTGCATACGTTAAAGTTCACAAAGTTCTGTGGGTGTTGACAAATGGCTTTGTGTCACGTATCCAGCATTTCAGCATCCTGCAGAATAGTTTCAGCCCCCTAAAGTGTTCCTACGCCTTTACCTTTTCAACCTTCCCTCCTCCCTTTAACCTGCGGCATCCACTGATTCTTGTTTATTTGTTTTTTTAACTCCTCACTAGTTTTTTTCTTTTCCACTGTTTCCTATCATTGGAGTCATACAGTACGTAGACTTGGCTTCATTTAGTTAGAAACATACGTTTTAGGTTCATCTGTAGCTTTTCCTGGTTTGTGAGCTCATTTTTCTTCATGACCAAATAATATTCCTTCATATGTGTGCACCCCAGCTTGCTTATCCATCCCTCCCTTAAAGGGCATCTTGTTTGTTTTAGCCACTATGTGTAAAGCTTCAGTAAACATTAATGTGCAGGTTTTTGTGTGGAAGCAAGTTTTCAAATCAAATGGGTAAATACCTAGGAATACAGGTGTTGGGTTGTATGATAATACCATGTTAACTTCATAAGGAAGTGCCAAACTATCCTCCTGAGTGACCGTACTCTTTCACATGCCCCCTGGCAATGAATGAGAGCACTTGTCCTTCACATCCTCAACATCAATTGGTATATTCAGTTTCTTTTGATTTTATTTGTTCTGATAGGTTTGTTTTAATTTGCAATTCCCTAATGACAAGTGGTATAGAACATTTTTCCCCCCTTTGGTTATTTGCCATCTGTATAACTTCTTCAGTGAGCTGTCTCTTCTTTTGCCCATTTTTAATTGGATTTTCTTACTGTTGAGTTTCAAAAGTTCTTTGTATATTTTGGACACCGTGTTTTCTATCAAATACATGTTTTGTAGACATTCTCTCCTTTTCTGTGACTTGTCTCTTCATCTCTTAACAGTGTCCTTCTCAGAGGAGAAGTCTTTAATTTTAAGGAAGTTCAGCTTACTAATTTTTATTTCATAGATTATGTTTCTCATACTGTTTCTAAAAACTCATCATCAAACCCAAGAACTCACACTGATTTCTTGATTTCTTCTGAATTTTCTTCTATAAGTTTTATATTTTATGTGAGGTCTAAAGTCCATTTTGAATTAATTTTTATGAAAGATGTCTCTATGTTCTTTTCTCTCTCTCTCTCTCTTTTTTGGTAGCATATGGATGTCCATTTGCTTGAGTACTATTTGTTTAAAGACTTTTTCATAGAATTTTCTTTGCAATTTTGTCAGTAGTCACTTGACTATATTTCTGTGGATCAGTTTCAGGTCTGTCTCTTTTGTCCCACTGTTCTGTGTATCTGTTTTTCCATCAATACTTACTACCTTGATTATTATAGCTTTATAATAAGTCTTGAAATCAGATACTGTGATCATCTAAAATTTTCTTCTTCAGTATTGTGATGTCTGTTCTGGGTCTTTTGCCTTTCTATATATTCTCCAGAATGTGTTTGTCAGTCTACAAAGTAGTTCTCAGGAATTTTACTGGATTATATTGAGTATATAATATAGGTGAAGATGGGAAGGATTGGCAACTGAGTAGTATTGACTGTAACAATCATTAAGCATGGGATATTTCTTCTTTGATTTATTTCATCAGAGTTTGAATGTTTTCTCAAGCTTTGCTTATGTTGAGCTATTGTTGATACAGCTTGTTTCTTCTGTCCTCTCTGACTTGGAATCTCGTATTTTATGTTAGACATACATAAATAAGTTGAATTCTACTTCAGAAAATACCTGTATTTATTTAACTTAAGAATGGTATTTTAAATTACTGTGTGTTCAATACATTATTTGGGAAGTTACATTTAATTTTCTCTTTCATCGAACTCTGATGTATACATGTGTTCTCAGTTTGACGATCTTTCTAGCCTCAGTTTCCTTGTCCATAGACAAGTAGAATACAGCCCACTTCATGATGTAGGCATGAAGGTCGGATGTGACCCTGGCCTGACATCACAAAGAAGTCCTGAGTAGATGATGCAGCCTTCCCACATGTCCTCGCTTACTACTCTGTGTCTTGGCCAGAAATTGAGTCTTGGGGTTTCTTTGATGTTATAATATTCATGACCGCTGTATAAGCCTTAAACGACTTAACTTCCTTGCAGTATGTAGTTGTTTCTCATTTGCTCTAGTCTTCATTTTGCATTTGATTTCCTTATTTCTTCTTATAGTAATATGGAATGTTGATTTTCCTGAGGTGTAAATGCATGTGAACCATGGCCTGGTAGAGAAATGATGACTATTACTAACTTGCCCCTCTTGTTTGCAGGGGAAGGGGAGGAGTCACAGCCCGGCCAGTTGGAGTTGGTGTACCACGAGGGACGCCAGCTTCCAGGGGTATCCTTTCCACCCGAGGGCCAGTGAGTCGGGGAAGAGGACTTCTCACTCCCAGAGCAAGAGGAGTTCCCTCAACTGGGTACCGACCTCCGCCACCACCCCCAACACAAGAGACGTATGGAGATTATGTAAGTGAAGGAGTCATGCAGCAGCTATGCTGTTCTGATCTAGCCAGCCACACGCAGCATTGGCTGTCGTAACCAAGTGCCCACCCTCACTTGCTGTAGTCCTCAAAAATGCTACCTTAGTTCAGCAAACGTTTACTGAGTGCCAAATAAGATGTGATACTAGCAGTATAAGAAATGAGAAGGAAATAGCCTCTTTTGTCAAGTAACTTACATCTGTGATAGGGAAGATGAATTTGGGTGGTAGGGAGGTTCTAGCCCAGGATCAAGGAGACATGTCATCAAGCTCTTATGGGTTTTAATGTGACATTCATTCATGTTCCACTACAGGTTACCTCTGAGTAATTCAGTCATTTAAAAAAGAATCACCTACATATACCAAGTTGTTTTTACCCTGAAGTGTTTCCTCTTAAGTGCTACTGTTGAATAGGGATTCTTAGTTGAAATTTTTTTCAGTGAAGAAAACAAAAGTTCCCAATTTTTTATATTAATGCAAATCAGTATGTGTTTCCATTACCATTCAATAATTCTTTGATACGGTTCATAGACTTACTGAACATAAGAGAAAGAAAATATATCCATGGAAACTGAGTAGAGGGGAAGGACAGAGGCGTTCTTCAACAAGAATACAAGCCCCCTGGGATTCTTCCTGTGACTTTTGAGTTTAACATAAATAAAGAAAATAAGTGGTGGATGGATGCTTCATGTTAGTGATTGAAAGTCTTAGAAACAGTACATGAACCGTTGTCAAAGAGAAACAGTGACGGGTGATGGGGCTGAGGTACAAGAACCGATGGGTTTTCATGTTTTATGTCAGGGAGAGCTCTTTCTGGGTGCCCGGTGGCTTCCTGCATGGTGTCTGGAAGGCTGTGTTCATTCTCTGGGACATCTTCAGCTGCATCAGCAGCCACTGGAAAGATCAAAGTCTTTGTCCTGGATGTACTGAACTTTGTGTCTTTCCTTCGGTGTGCTGCATCCTCTTGGGCTTCCAGACCTTTCTTGGTGCTGCTCTCTGCTTGGAATCTCATGCTTCCTGTTTGTCAGCTATCCTTAGGGAAAGTCAGAGGAAGTAGGAGCTGCTGTATTGAGCAATACTGCTGGAGTCACACATCTCTCTCCCACCTACACTGGGACTTCTGGAGGGGCAAGGATGTTTGGCTTGTATCTCTGAGCGGCAGAGAATGGATCCTGGGAACTCAGTGAATTTAACAAATAAATCCCATAACACTTTCACCATTTTGCTATTTTGTTGAGAAAGGGTGTGACCTCTCTCTCTTCTCCTTATTTTCTTACAGTTTGACATGTTCCTGTGTCCTGATATTCTGACCAAACTGACAATGATAATCATGCCTCAAGCTCTTCCACAGATGTGGCGTCTCCTGAGAATAGCAGAGACTGCAACGGGGGGGAAAGTGCTGTTCGGTGTTTGTCGTTTTCCACCTGGGCTTTCTCTTAGGTCTGGATTAATGCAGGTGTGGCTAGATGGTGTCACCAGACCATCAGACACAGGGTGTGGGAAGCCTGGATCCTCGGCCCCTGGTGCTGTCAGTATGGTCTGAGTCAGGCAAGCTGCTTGTTGGGCTTTACAGTCACATTTCAGAAAGAGCTGTTGCCTTCTCCCCATACATTAATTCACCTTTCCACTCAGATGGATTGAATTCCGTCTGTCTCTAGGTGTACACTCTAGTGAATCCAGAATGCAATTAGATGAATACAATGACCATTTCTGGAAAAGTTCAAGTCCAGAGGAGAAAGGCGTTAAAACAATTGACTTGAGAAGTATTTGGTTGAGTTAATTTACTGCCCTTCCCGCTGACTACCGTGGATGATGCGACAGTGGCCATGCCGAAGAATCCGTGTGTCCTTCCAGGAGCAGACGGGGTTCAGGAGCTTCGGGGAGAAAGGGAGCTTTCACTGTTCGGGTCCCACACTCACCTGGCGCTCCTCCAGGCGCTGTGGCTGCAGCCACAGTTCCAGGGTGGCGGCCTCTTCCTCTCCCAGGTAACCGATGGCTGTGTTTCCCGCCCTCATCTGAACTTACCTGGAGTGCGGCATCGGCAATTCTGTCATGTTCACACAACAGCTCTTGCACACACAGCTGCTTTCTGAATGTGCTCTAGGTGCTGGAGTCGGACACATACACAAAAGAAAGATGACTCTTGAACAACACGGGTTCCAACTGCCTGGGTCCACTTGTATGTGGATTTTTCTGAAAATAATGGTACAGTACTATAGATGTATTTTGTCTTCCTTATGATTTTCTTAATATTTTCTCTGAGTTAGTTTATTGTAAGAGTACAGTATTTCATACATGCAATGTTCAGGACATGTGTTAATCAACTATTTATGTTATTGGAAGGCTTCTGGTCAGCAGTAGGCTATCTATTAGTACTTAGGTTTTTGGCAGTCAAATGTTATACACAGATTTTCAACTGCATGGGAGTCAGGGCTCCTAACCCCACATTGTTCAAGGGCCAGCTGTACTGTCATGAGTACGGCCTCTTCCCCAAGCTGGATTACTATAATGAAGAGTTTGGATTATGTCCGTGCTATACCTTTCCCTCTTGATTTGTATCTGTTACTCCTGGAAACACTTATGGAAGTTAATAGCCAAGAACAAGGATTTTCCCCATTTTGCCTCGCATTTTGCAGGCCTTTTACGCTGTTATATACTGAAAGCTTCAATAGCGGAACACTGTACACAGCAAACGATGTTGGGAGCTGGTGTGAGGAGGAGACACAGTCCCCTCACCTCTGCGGCTCGCCCTAGTAGCTCTGCCTCTCAGGTGTGCTCTTTTGACTTCAACTCGTTTCCTGACCACAGCTTTGCGGTGTCTGGTATATTCCCAGACATTGGCCATCGGTCCTAACTATTTGAAATCCTGAAGATTATTCACACAACATGCTTAGCTTTGGAGCACGGGAAGGAGAAAATGCCCAGACTTAAAAAAAGAAAATTTAAAAATGTGTTTGTTTGTTTGTGGGACTTTGGAAGAGGTGGATATCCTAAACATTATCCAACTTAGAAATCTTGAGATCCTATAATGCCCCAAATAGTTCTTCATTCATGCGGCAAGTGGGAAAGTTGGAGTTGATCTTTAAAATAATCATACCATTGAACTGGAATGAATATAAAGGAGTTTCTAAACTCCTTGAGAATATGGATCCCTCGCTTGCCATTCACCTTTGTCTATAACTCCTATCACCTAGTGTGCTGTCTGGCACATAGAAGGTCTTTACTAGGTGTTTGCTGAATGTGTGACTGTTCTCAAGACTGAGTTTTAAGGGATACCTGGGTGGCTCAGTCTGTTGAGTCTGTTGGCTCAGGTCAGGATCCCAGAGGCCTGGCGTCTGAGTCCCGGGTCGGGTTCCCTGCTCAGCACGAAGCCTGCTTCTCCCTCTCCCTGTTCTGGTCCCCCTACTTGTGCTCTCTCTGTCTCTCTCTCTTCACTGTTGGCATATAGCTGTATAGTGTAGTCATTAGTATACATCTGTTTCTCAGCAGATTATAAACTTCTAAGGAAAAACACTCTCTCGCCTGTAGCATAGTTTCCGGCACATTATATGCACTTAGTAAATCTTTACTGGATTAGAGACCCGATAAGTTTTCCTAATGAAGGTTACCATTGATCTTTTCCAAGTCATTACTGTAACCATCCGATGGGAAGCAGTGTGAGAGTTGGCATTTGAAAAAACATCTTGCCTTAGTTATCCCTGTCCCTGGTGTTCAAAGGGCAGTTACAGGTTACAAAGAGATAAGACTAATTCTCTGTAGCTCCTGAAAGTCGCAGAGTAACATAATTCTTATCTCAGTATAAGAATGAACTTTCCAGACGATGTAATACTTAATGAGAAGCTACTCTCCACAAGGCATTTTCATGTATGTTCTCTCATGTTCTTCTCATAGCCACTCAGTGAGATGTTATGATCTGTTGTGCATGTGAGAAGTTGAAGTGTCTCGCCTAAAGGTGTGGCAGATAAAGAAGGAGCAGATGCGGGATTCAGGACTCAGGGGCTGTCTGTTTTCGAACACTCAGTGCTTTATGAAGAACCGTGTTCTAGTAGATGAGCCTATAGGCTCTTCTCCTCTTTGGAGAAAATGTAGCGGCTACTTCGTCTTGCTTCCCCAGGATGGTGGGCCAGGTGACAAGAGATTGTGTCAGATGACCCCTGTGGCCTGGCCGTGTAATCAGCCACTTGTGTTAAGCTACCTTAACTAGATAAATGGAAATTGAGAATAATTAGGAAAAACAGGATGGGTTTAGGAATTTTAAAAATAATAAATGACAATAGTGTTGTATTTACTAGCAAAAAAAAAAATAGTTTTTTCTTTAAGAGTTTCAGAGCACCTGTAACTCTCAAAAAGACGTGTCATTCCTTTGGAACTCAGAAATGTGATTTTTAAAGATTCTCCTCAAAGTACATCCATAGTGATTAAATGTTTTATTTCTATGAACTTGTTTGGTTCTATCCAACCAATTCAATTTGCTTTTCATTTTAACTTCCACTTAACATTTATTATCTGAGGACATTATTTCCAGAATAAAAGACAAAAAATCCTATCAGTTGCTTATTTAAACCAAAAAGGGGTAACATCCTATTCCTTCAGATCCTGCCACAGCTGCTACTTTTTTGAAAAAGCATACGTTTTAGTCCTTAAAATACTCCGTGTTCTTCAGAGTACGTGCGCCAGCCTGAAGGGATCCCCCCATGGCACTAGGCTTAAACACTCAGCGAGTGGTGAGCGTTACAGTGGCCTGTTATAAGAATACGCTTGATTAGCCCCAGTGAGAAAGCTTGATAATTTGAAGGTATTTCCTTGTCAAAATGTGACTATTGAAATTGGACTGATTTTTCTCAAGGTGTATATGCGAAGATATTTGATCATTTATAGTGTCACCTGGGCCAACTGTTCTTCATCACAGTCACTGTCACATATGCTCCCTGAGCATGTGTCCTTGAGAAGAACATCTGTTAGTAAATCAGTCTGCTGCTCTGCGAGG